AAATTTTTCATAAGCACTCATAAAGATTCGAGCATATTTGATGGTTGATGGTGACAGATTCGAAAGTACTTGTCTTTCGCAACTTATAGAGAATTTAAATCTATTTTGTTCAGATTCTAGTCTGTTTGTTTTTCAAAGTAATTATATTACAGAGAAATCATACAAATTCAAACCTACTTGTAAGATACTTAATTCCACCGCTACATATCATGTTGGTATTTTTGTCGCGTGGCAAGTACACCGAGTTGGATAACACGTTTTCATTAGACTGATTAACATGGTGACATTGACATTGCCGACAATGTCACGGTAAAAAAAATCCATCCATCGGCCGTTCCCTTGTACTACATCGTGACTTCCCTTTACATTACTTTTTCGTAGCGTCATAATTAAGTTTAACATCTTTTTATATCTGACTCTTACTTAACTTGCACATTGTTGATCAGTAGATAGCTAAAGATGATCGTTAGCCTCGGATTTACTCGTCACCGCGCATGCGCCGATTTCATTGAAAGATTCATCAAGATATGAGGTATTTGATGCGAAGAAGAAAAGTGGTTTCGTGAAGGACCTGAAACGCGAGTCGATTAATAGACTTTCGGCGAGATGAGATGTCAGGGCCGCAGTTTGCAGAAACCGCACAGACGAACCGCAAACTGTCGCGCTGCCCACAGTCAGCTGGACGAGCAAACCTTCCTCTAAGCGGAAGTTTATCCTTTCTGCCAAGATAAAAATGATCTTATCCAATTGTCGTCTCTCCTTTTGCCTTCCTTCCTCCACTTTAATTCAGAATATTATATCCAATTGAATAAAATGACTTTTCACATTATACATATATTCTTTCACAGTTAGGTTAGATTGGATAACTAATTTTCTTTTCTATACCGAATGCCCCATTTTTGCTCTTCGTTGTTCATTACGAAGACAGAAATCCGAGTACGTAATTCGTGGGAAAGGAAGAGGGGGAATGGGAAGAGATATTGCGCCGAGTCACCCTCTTCGCGGATTGTGGCGCATGATGGGGAAGTAAACAAACGCCGGAGAAAATGTTTGTCAGAGGGGTAGCGTCGTCGACGTCACGCGAAAGGCGCCTTCGAGGCGCCGAGGGTTTGTCCATCGATTCGCATCCTGTAAGGATGTAATCCCGGAGAAGAGAAAATCAGCCACGCTTCGATAGCGCTTGGCGCCAAACCTCCCTCTCGGCCCTTTCTATCTTTCCCGAGCTATCATCTAACCTCTCTATATAGCTCTCTCGTCTCGATCGTTCTGATAATTATTTCGTCCGGCTTGCGATCTGATCTCGTCGCGTTGTATTTGGCTTGAAGTGTTTTTGGGTTAAACTGCCCATACAGGATCAGATTTCAAAAACTCTCCCTAGAGCTTTAATTGTTATTTCTCTAGCTTTCAGTCATCAAGGATATAGGACAGTATTCATAGTCCGATCTTGTATTTAAGATCGTTTTAAGTGGTCTTACAATTTGGTCGTCTTAAGATCCCATTCAATCACATAACATCTCAAGACCGTATTTAAGACTATCTTAAATATAAAATCCAACTATGAATAGTCATCATAATGTTGAAACCACGGGATGCGTATAATTTCGAAGGTTCATAATTTCCGACGTACAGACAGTATTGAATTATCTTGCTGATATAATCTTGAGATAACAAGATAAATTGTCGTGTTGATTTTACAATGGATTGGATCTCGGGATTGATTAATTTGAGCCGGATTTATCGTAATCGTAAAGTCCAGTATGTAACAGAAAACATTCACCATTAAATTTTACGTTGATATTCGATATAAAAATTCGAACAAGCTACTTGTGGTTCTTGTTTTTATCCGTTTGTCGTCGAAATATTACCGAGATACTTGAAAATATATCGAGTGTCGCTTCAGGACTTTCTGTCTGATCGATATCTATTGAATCGTTTCTCAATTGTATATTCGCTGAAGAGTTTTACTGTTCAGAGCCGTTTCCGTTTAAAGACAAGCTTGAAGAATACAGCGAACGTGAATCGTAATTTTCGTTCTTGTTGCATGCGGTGATGACATAACGAATAGATTATTTCTTTTTGCTATTTCAAGACGCGCTACATCATCGACCATTAATCTGCAAACATATGTATAATCCTCCAGAACTGAAATAGACCTGTCGCCATCTTTTATCGTATTTATTCCGAATACGGATTTAAATATATTTATTATTATTTAATATTGTTATTTATTAATAATATATATTTTTATTATTTATAATTATTGAAATATCTACACACACAAAGATTTATATAACATTTAAATAACAATATACACATTTATATAACATTGATCACAAAATTCATAAAAGAAAAGTTCAATCAAAACTATATTTTCTCTGTTTCTCCATTTACTTCTAGAAAAGTGAAGATTTAATGGATATTCGAAAATCATCAATTCGAGAAAAATCGAGCTACAAAAGTGGCGATATACATGATATACTGATACAGAGCGATTTAAGGGGAATATCACATATAGAAAGAGATGGAACACGTGACGCGTACGCGGAGCGGGAGCGGAATATTGATTGTCGCAGAATCGCGGGGAGCGTCATCTCCTCTCCCTCCTTCGCCGCTGCACGGCTGTGCCGTCCGTCCGGCAGTCAGCTGACTCGAGTTACCCGACTCACAGCTGATCCGACGCACGCCGCCGCGCCGTGGTGGCGCAATCGCCGTCGCATTGCCGTCCTCGCGCCTCTTCTCTTTCTCCTTTCTTTCTTTCTCTCTTTTCCTTTTCTCCATAATTTTTTGCGATGGACCCGCCTTCCGTGTCTTTCCGTGTTTTCCGTGTCTTCCGTGTCTCTCCGTGTCTTTAATTACTCTTAAAATACAATAGACGCGTGAAGAGGAGATCTTGCAAGACTTTAGAAGAGAAAAGATACGAAAAGTAAAACGGTAAAAATGTGCAGATGAAAGCGAATAAATATTATATATAAGCTTTCTCGATCCATTGACGGGCGATTCTATTTCTCTTTCGAAATTTCGTTTTGATCGGTAGGTCTAAAGGAATCAATTTAATATTTGATGTCTCGTTGAATGTCTCATTTTTTTCTAAAAGAGAAAAAGATAAATGGAAAGAGGGAGAGAAACCTTTGTGGCACTCTCCGATCGTTATTTCGGAAACAAGACGTGTCCAAAATAATTCGTTTCTGCGATAGGGATTGTGTTCATTCGATTGATCGCTGCTCACTCCATAAATAACTCATTCATTGACGAAGACGAGCTTTCAATCAAGCTTATAATTGCAGGGGCTATGATTTACTTTAAATACGCGGGTTTAAAATAAATTCTAGATTATATATTTTTAAAATAGGTCTTATATACGCGTTCAACAGACTTGGCAGATTGGATTATAAATTCCTCGAGTATGTTACATAGTAAATTACATGAAAATCTTGGAATGCATCAGCTTGTACATAAGTCTATGCAGTGTTTCAATAGTATTTTCTATCCTCATATTACGATTTCTTATAATTTTTTTTATTTTAACACATGACTCAATAAATTTTTTTATTTTAATCGTGACGTTTATGAATGTGTTAAATGTAATACATATTTCTGCTTTGAATCATGGATAGCTCTAAATATAAAACTATTCTAAACTCGTGACAAAGACTTTATTTTATCTTTATGTTTCATATTGAACATTCCGTGCATGTTATATGATTTATAGTCCTTTTTCATAAAATCATTGAAATTTACGTCAGTATTTCTGAGGTCATGCTAATTCCTACCACGTCCGACTTTAGGAAAGTTGGATTCGACGGAGATCAACGCGCCCATACCTCGTGGTCGTATTAATACTAGACAACATCACGGCGCACGAAACAACGTTGAAATAAATGCTTCACCGGGTAAAAACGTGCATGCGCATTTCGGTCTTGCGCACATAGTTGAATAATTAAACCGAATGGTCTGAAAGAGGCTTATATACGACGCAAAATGTACTAAAAATAATATGAGTTATTTAAATTAAATTGTTTGAACAAATTTTTATAAATTATATATATTGTGTATATACACACACACACACACACATATTATATTATGTCTCTAGGTTTCATCCCTTGAGCGTTTCCAATCATTGTCAAGGGGGTTGTTAATTAACAATTGGCGCGATATTATTTAACAGCACCATATTTAAGTTGGTTGACAACTGTCGAATCGAACGAATGTTTTCTCTGTCAATTGCCATTATTATTGTATTTCACGTTTCTTTATTGTTCTTGTGTTACTCATTAATTGTTGTTAAAGTTATTAGTTTATCAATTAAATACGCGTTGTTATTGGTTTCCGGGCAAGTGCGTAGGTGAGTGACATGACTTCGATATATCGAAGTCTTGTGGACGTAATAATACATACAGGGTGTTCCGAAATTCGCGAATAACTTATTTGTGGGAGATTCCTAAGGTTACTTGGAGACGATTTTTCTCAGTAAAAATGTCAAGGTACCAATAATTTTTATGTAATATAAGCGATTGAAAGGATTTTTCGCAAACTAAGTCTTGTGGAAATAAAATATTAAACAAAACCATATTCTTCAATTAATTTTAAGTAGAGTTTACTTTAAGGCTTACTTTTTAGTTTTAATATAAGGCTTAGTTCCATAATGGCAAAAATTGGAAATATGTAAAAAATGATAGCCTCCTGTAACATTTTTGCTGAAGAGAAATTGTCTCCAATTGATCTCAAGAATCTGCTATCAAGTATTTCGCGAATTTTGGGACACTCTGTATATATATTTGCTTGCTCATATTTTTTTCGAATAAATAAGTACTTTATACATTTTACTATTATTTCTTATTTTTCAACATTAATTTCCTCTTGATAGTGAAAATACTGGAAAATACCAATGTTCCAATTAACGCGATATAGGAAGGGGTGTAACATCGCCTTTAATTCGCATTATACCCCGGCGCATTTCAGACTCAGTGGCGACTCGGTGATTCGTCAGGGTGCGATCTCAAAATCTCAGGCAGTCGCATTCGCGTGCTCAACAGCGGCGCGTCGAGTAGCACAAGGATGTCCGATGATCCAAACTCCCACGAGAGAGAGAGAAAGAGAAGGAGAGTATATCTTCGGACGAATTCGTGAGATGTGCGAGAAACGCGTACATCTCGTCCGGATCTGACATCGCGATCTCGAGCGGCAAATTTGGAAAATTCAGATGATTTTATCCCCATTCACCCTTTATTTCAACATTTTTACGTTCGCGAGTGACGAATACATACAACCAGTGAAAGAACCAGCTTCTGCTCTCCTTCGTCTCGTTATTTGTCGTACACGATAATGTGGTAGTGATAATGATCTATGTGAGGCGCGATGCTACGTGATTCGATTAGGAGAAATACCGCAGCGTGATGCGGCAAGAAAAAAGAACTCTATGAAGGATGCTGCAATGATGTGCAAAGAAGCACACTTTACTTTTTTTTAAACACTGTTAATTTATGAGGAAAATATCCACGAATTTTTTAAATCTGCATACGATTCATAAATGAAAATCGACGAGCTTATTTCTCAAAACTTTTCTAAATCTATATATTTAAAATAATACGAAGTTATGGGAAGTTACACTTAACTTTTACATTTTTTTTACATGAATGAAACATATGGAAAGTTTTGTAATATTTTTAAGTCGATTGGGGAGGGAGGATTTTTAAGCTTATAAGATCGGAAGAAAATTATCGACTGTTTCTCGATATCATCAAAAGTTCCGCAGCATATTCCATAACGAGCTTCTTGGAAAAGAATGATAATTATTAGGCAATTTTATTTATCTGACTGGATGCTTCTTACCGAGACGAAACAAAATTCGATTATCATCATTAAGTACAACCCGTGGAGAATGAACGAGTTATAATATGAAGGGAAAGACAAAAATTGCTCGAGTGTTGGAGATTAAATAAATCAATATTACGTTGATGGAAAATGAATGAGAGTAGGAAATAAAAAGATAAGAATTTATTGAAGCGACCGGAGAGGTTGAATAGGTTGATGCGTATATTTTTGCCTGAAATCTCTCGTGAATTTTTGAACGAGACGTTTTGGATACGGGTTCACGTGTCTAGGGAAAACGAGAAAAGAGGGTAATTCCTTATTTATTCGCCTAGTCCTAGGGGGATTCTCTTATTTACTCGCTTAGTCCTTCGGGGGATTCTCGGCCGAGTGGTCGCTTGTGACAAATTCTTTCTGTCAGAATCAAGGATGGAGTAGCAGAATCTAATCCTCAGCAGGATCCATTGCGAGATCTTCTTTTAGATTCCGTAAAGTTAAGGATTACATTTCTAAAATAGAAACATTAGCAGCATATTTCGTTCACTTTAAAATTACATGTATAAGATGTATAAATAACGTTAAGAGCATATAAACAAGAAAATATGTAGTGACATAATGGAGCGTCGAGTGACGCAGTGATAGAGTGATTGTCTCCTGAGAGGAAGATCCTAGGATCAAGTCCTGGTAATGCCCCGATTTTTTCTCTCTGTGTAATAATAATAATAATAATATATAATTTAATCAAATATTAACGAATATAAAAGTAAAGATAAATTGTAAATTTGGAGCATTGCTTTCCCTTGCAATTCTACTCTTATATTACTGGGTTGTACGCATTAAGTGCGATTTAAATGTTGGACGTGACCTTGTCCCGGTCACGATCAAGGGCGCATATGTCACGGCTTCGTGCAATTGGTCGAAATTGTTGTGGAGCTACTTGGCTCGAACTTTTCCTTCACTTTGCGATGCAGTGACATTCGAATTTACGCTCTGTTGACTAACCGGGTTAATAACGCACACGCGCTGTGTTATCATCGTAATTCTCATTGCTATCAATTCTGCAATTACAATGTTTTTCATTTGTAATTATAAATTATTTATTTAATTTATGTGAATTATTATAAAATTATTTAACGATGTATGTATACTGAAGCTTTTATGGTTTTTATATTATATTTTCTATTTTTCATTTTTCTGAATATTTTTTTTGAAAGATTATTTTTTAAATCTTTTAAAAAATTATTTTTCTTAAAAGAAGAAAAAATAGTATGAACACATGATTTTAAGGTTCAAAAAGCAGCGTGCATGTTTCATTTTACGCTATCTTACTTAATTTATGTAAAATTATTTCACATTTTACGTAATAAATTTTTTTCATTATATTAATCATTTACATGCGACATTCTAAGCTACATTTTGCCAATACAATTCTCTATAACTAAAAGTTATTAGTTGTCAACAAAAGGAAGCGCGTTTTTATCTCACGATATACAATTCACGAGTTTTCCAGAATATGATTCCAAGTATGCGAAAAAGTCAAATTAAGGTACTCGCTTTTATTTATGTTATGTTATATTTTTGTCACGAAACGATCATCAATTTTATCTCGACCGACCGAAATCGCTAATCTCTTGGTTCTTGACTATATTTTTCTTTATAGCATCATGGATGCACGTGTACGTGATAACCCAGTTTCTGAAAGACAGCCAAGCGACAAATTCGCGGCATCAGCTGGGGAAACGAGAAACCTGGCATCGCATCAGCGACGCATATTGCTCAAATTTTTGTAGCAAATCGAAGGAAAAAGAGAGAAAGAGAGAGAGGGAGAGTGAAAGAGTGTGAAAAAGGGGATTTAAAAATGCAATTTATCGACACTTTGATACTTGTAGATTTCCCAAGAGTGAATAAATTTGTATATATGTACAGATTATACAGGATATAACTAAAAAAAAACACATAAAGCACACAAGATTCTGATTCAGATTCTGTGGCCAATTTAAAGACTATTTTTTCTCAGCCTTAAAATTCTAAAAATAAACTTTACCTGAAATCAACTGAAGAATGTAGTTTTGTTAATATTTGAATTCCACAGTGTTTAGTTTGCTCTTCTTTTCCGTTTTTTACAACTAGAAAATTATTTTCGCTCAGGAAAAATCGTTTCCAAATTGGTTAGAAAATTCGGTGATGTGCTTCATATATGTTTTTTTAGTTACGCCTTGTATATCTGCTGCAATCGATCTAAATAAAAGTTGAAAATGATCAGTAGTAGCAACACAGCTGTGACCTCTTAAAATATTATAACGATGCTCCATTTATGTTACAACATTGATTTGTAACTTTATTATTATCGAACGCGAACGCACATTTGTGAATTTTGCTCCAGATCGACGAAGACCGATCTTTCGCGCTCGTTCTTCGTAAACGAGATCGATTGTCTTCCAAGGATTGTCTTCCAAGGAGTGTCTTCCGCGTCGTCTTCCCTCGAGCTACTTCTTCTCGAAACTGATTAGACTGAACATCATCATTATCATTGTGCTATTTATACGTGAATTCTCAGACTTCAGTGAGACGAACCGACCAGTGAACTGGAAAATAAGTTCAGTCGAGCTGCTTTCAAAGTCGAAGGAGTCATCATCCCTAGGAACCACGAACATTCAAAAGAATCTTATTAGAAAAGTCAGGATTTCAGAAAGGACTGGAGAAAAAGATTGTTATTCCTAGGAAAATCAAAATCTTTGTGAACCGAGTGTATCCACAGTTTGAAATGCACATATATTAAGGATAAGTAAGTCTTTTTAGAAAAGGAAAGAAAAATAAAAATCCATCCAAGAAGAAACATAGAACCAACAAAGGTCGCTTCAATTCCCGAATTAAAAATCACAAGAGATCTTTTCTTCTCTTCAAAACATCGTTGGAACATTCCGTCCTCGAAGAAGAGCTACGACTTTCCTGCGTCCTCATATCTCCCTCGATATTGGGAAGGAGCCGGGACAAGAAGCGTCCCGGGGGTGCGTGCTGGCCAGAGAGTTCAATGCCAATCGAACAAGATTTGGTGCCTACCTAGTGTGCGTGAGCGGATCCTCGGGCACGAGGGCGGCGCGCCGAGGAGGTCGTCCTCGACCACGACGATCACGACGACGACGATGATGATGCTGCGCTCGCCGGCGCGCGGCGCTGCCGTCACCGTCCTGAGAGAGCCCTCCGCCTCTTCTTCCGCTTCTGCCGCGGTGGCGGCAGCGGCGGCGGCCGCTGTCGCGTCTTCGGCCACCACCGTCTCGGCGCCGCCGACGCCGGTGCACCACGGCAGCGGTGCCGGCGCCGGGGCCGGTAGCTCAAGCAGCGCCTCCTCCTCGCGCCTCTCCCTGCTCGACACCTGCCACAGGAAGATCAGGCTCTTCGGCGAGCTAGTCGCGTGAGTTCTTCACCCCGCAAACTCGCGGATCGCGTAGATATGTACATGCTGGATGATTCGTTTTAATCTTATCTGGTGAATACTTGAAAATATATATGAAATTTTGTATAAAAAAAAAGACGTGCTAATTGCAAATTATAGATACTTTTTCTTAAAGACAACTGTGTCTTTTTTTTTTTTACATCAATTGATTGATTTCTCTCATAATTTTGTGTATAAAAGTATCGAGAGATTTATCGAAAAATAAATATTTTATGGGATATTTCATAGTTTATGTAAAATTAGGGCAAATTGAAGTATAAAATATCTCGTAAACTATTTCCATTTGAGCATAAAAAAATGCATTAATTTTCAAATGACTTTGAACAATCATCTTAAAATTCAAGATTGTCAACTTTTTCTCCCTCAAAATTAAACGACGATTTATTCGAAATATTGTTTTCTAAAAAACAATATTTTATATTTTTTTGAAAGGGACATAATATCGTGGTCTAGAATAGCCTTTGCGTGGCATTTTTCAAGGTTATTTAAAGGTTAAATTTTCATAAATCGATTCCTTGTAATATTTAGCAGACAAAGTTATAAGGATAAACTGACCGAAAAAGTGAATAGTTTGAGAGATATTTCATACTCTGATTTAATTTTTAAAAAACTAGATTGTCCTTCAAACGATCTTGAAAAGACGCCATGATGTTTTCTTCGAAATTCTACAACTTTTGCCTCATACGATTTTTTCTAAAATCCCGTAATTTTCAAATATTTGTCTGTCAAGATTAAAATGGATCACCCTGTATATATACAGGGTAGGCCATTTTAATCTTTCCACTAAAATTTCTCAAAATCCAAAAATTTAAGACAAAAATGTTTCAGATAAAAGTTGTATGGTTTCAAGGGGGACATGAGATGGTGTCATTGATTTGACCTTGAATAGCCATTTGAAGGTTACGTGAAGGTCAACTTCAATTTCTTAAATGGAACACTATATTTTTTCTTGCATACTTTTGTAGCTGACTTCGAGATCTTTCCAAAACACTACAATAAAATATTTTTTCATGAAGTATTTTTCGAGTTATTAAGGCTGCAAATTTGCAGTATTTTGACATAAAATACAAAATATCTTGGGAAATATTCATTTTTCGATTATCATACCTTAATACTTTTATGCACAGAATAATGAGACGAATCAATTGGTGTAAAGAAAACACATAGTTGTCTTAAAGAAAAATTATCTAACTGCTTATTGCAATATATATTATAAAAATATTTTATTGTAGTGTTTTGGAAAGATCTCGAAGTCAGCTACAAAAGTATGCAAGAAAAAATATAGTGTTCCATTTAAGAAATTGAAGTTGACCTTCACGTAACCTTCAAATGGCTATTCAAGGTCAAATCAATGACACCATCTCATGTCCCCCTTGAAACCATACAACTTTTATCTGAAACATTTTTGTCTTAAATTTTTGGATTTTGAGAAATTTTAGTGGAAAGATTAAAATGGCCTACCCTGTATATATACAGGGTGTCCGGTAACTAACGGACCAATGATTAAGGGCGGATTCTCTGGCCAATTTGGAGACAATTTTTCCTTAGCAAAAATGTTGAGAAGTCAATAATTTTCGAGTTATAAGCGATTGAAAAAATGGGTTTTTTGAAAACTAAACGTTTTGGAGTTAAAAGTCTAACATAATTACAGTCTTCAGTTAATTTCAGGTAGAGTTTACTATAATAAAATTTTAATTTGAGGCTTAGTTATAAAGATACATAATGACAAATATTGGAAAGTTGTAAAAAATGATGACCTTTTTCGACATTTTTGCTGAGGAAAAATCATTCCCAAATTGACCAAAGAATCCACTTGTAATTGTTGGTCCGTTAGTTACCGGACACCCTGTATATATATGTATGTATGTGTGTGCGTGCGAGTATGCGTGAAATTGATACGGTGTAATTAAATTTCACATCTTGTCGCATTCGAAGTAAGAAGTGAAAATGAGGAAAAATTGGGAAAAATTGAATATATCCGTGGTACATTATAAGCGTTATAAATGATGTTATTAATATACGGAAATGTGATTAGACATATGTATATATGTACACAGGAGGATATATACGTATACCGGCTGATGACAATTATGCCAATGTCTTTTTTTTTCTTATGCCGAAGCTGATGCAGCTTCTTTCCAGGAGCATGTGCTTTCTAGAGAGTGATTAAAGCGCTTTGGACCGTGTAGACGTGGCTGAACATATGATGCTGCTGATCGTTATTGCATGTAATTGCATTTTTCACTGGCAGGAAGCTGGATGTGGCTGCTGCGTATATTAATTGTATACCCACAAGCTCGAAAATATACACAGAATATACTCGGAACCAATATTATATTTAGTTCTCACTTACAAACGAAGATTAATTAACGCGTTCACCTTAATTGGGACTATCTATGTTTCTGAATATTATTAAGTTTCTTTTTATGTTCTATTTTTAAATATAAATTAAAATTAAAATATTTATCAATATAAATTTAAAATATATAATTAATATAAATTTAAAATATATAATTAATATAAATTTAAATATAAAGTTACTTTTCTAATTAATTTATGTGAAAAGAAATTTATGATTAAAATTATATATGCGGTACAATAGAATGAGAATATTCTCCGTTATAAATATGTAAAATGTAGAGCTTCATATACGACGTTATTAATATTACAGTAGTGTATTGCTGCAATTTGATTTTTATTGTTATTTTCCGTTTTTCGCTAAAATGTAGCGCCATTATTATTATTTCATATCATTAATAAAGGATTTTCTATATAATTAAACGATATTGAAAACGTTCTTTTGTTTACGCAAAAAAAATCAGTTTGATTTGCTTTTCGTTGAACTCGTGACGTGAGAAATACAATGGCTCATGGCTTCCCTGATAGATTAAAGACAAATTGAATAGAGAATCGGGAAGCGTCGAGAGGATAATTGTACAAATCCGATAATTCGCTAATCTGATTAATGAACTCGCGCTACTCGATTAAAGACAAAACCCTCCACCATTCAATTACTATTCCGGTCAATCTGGAGACCGCAAATTAGCACGCACCTGTGAAATCGACAATCGCAGAGAAGAATTCGTGAGAATTGTAAAAGATTTCAGGGTTCACTTTCATTTTTCGACGATTTTTCGGGAATTTGTTTTCGACGATGAGAAAAAAATATTAGACTATATAGCATCTCAAAGCCACTAAACTATGATTTATATATTATTATAATATGTATATATTTATTAAAAATAATTATTTATATATAATATACAGAGTGTTCTCTACCGAATCACTGATTAATGGCAGATTTCTGAGATACCATCATTTTTTGCATATTCCCAACTTTTGCCATCATGTACCTTTTGTAACTAAGTCTTAAATAAAAAATTCTGTTAAAGTAAATTCTATCTGAAATTAACTGAAGAATGCGGTTTTGTTTCCACAAGGCTTAGTTTGCAAAAAACGCTTTATTTTCAATCGCTTAACTCGAAAATCATATTGGTGTCTCGACACTTTTACCGAGGAAAAGTCCTCTCCAAATAATCCCAGGAATCTTTCATTAACAAGTGATTCGTTAGGGACATCCTGTATAATATGTATATATTATAATATATTTTTTTAATATTATTGGCACATATTTTTAGTCTTAATCTTAATCTTAGATTATTTTCATTGTAATTCATTAATACCTTGTAATAAAACTGCATCTTCTCATTCCTTTGGCAAATTTATTGTTAGAATAATAAAGTTCTATGGAGAAAATTGATTCTCTTACTCTCTTTTTCTCTCTCTGACATCGTTCATAATAATTGATCAATTTGGTTTCGGACAGTGCGCATTAATCTCACACGCGAAGCTGCGCTGTATCACATTGATATACATACATATATATATATATATATATATATATATATATATATATATATTTATGATTTTGCTTGATTGGCTTGAACGTAATTAAAAATCTCGTTCTGCAAAAAGAACCTGCGGCTGATTCGCTAACCACGCAAATGTCCTCCTTCGTTTTGCAGAAAAGCCAGACGAAAGGAGAAGGATGCGGGAGCCACGGAGGATCCTAAACTGTACCTCGAGGAGGCCGCTCTCGAGAGGCAATTGCCGGAGCTGGACCTGAGGATGCTCGTGGATTTACCGCCCGGTCTGGACTACAACGAGTGGCTGGCGTCGCACACCCTCGCACTGTTCGACCACATTAATCTCGTATACGGCACGATATCAGAGTTCTGCACCATGACGGGCTGTCCCGATATGACCGGTCCCGGCTTAAGGTATAAGCTCTTTTTATAAATCGAGTGTTACTTTTAAAAAATAGAATGACCTTTAAATGGCCTTGAAAAATGTTATAAGGTCATTTCTAGATCATGATATGTCTCCCTCGAAATCTTACAACTTTTGCTTGATATAAAAAATTGAATGACCTTGAAAAATGTTACAAGGTCAATTCTAGGTCATGATATGATGTCCTCTTCGAAATCCTACAACATTTGCTTAATTGTATATAAAAAAATAGAATAACCTTTAAATGACTTTGAAATACGTTACAAGGTCAATTTTAGGTCATGATATTATGTTCCTGTCGAAATCCTACAACTTTTGCTTGATTGGATTTTTTTCTAAGATCTCAATTTCCAGATATTTGTCTGTCAAGATTAAAATGAATCACTTTGTATAAAGTAATATATATTTGAGAGAGAATTATATTTTATACTATAAAATGTAAAAATATACTGATAAATTGCGTATATAAAATCTTGTGATTTCCATATATTTGTTAAAATTAAATAAATCAATCTGTAAATCAAGAATATTATTTTTTCCATATTTTGTATTAAAGTTTTTTACATTTTAAATTTCATTGCAAAAATGGAGAGAAAAATTAATAAAGAATATAATGGGAAATCTGAAATCTCGAAAATTTATTTTCAATTCTTTCGATTTATCGTTAAACCGAGCGTTTTTATCACAGTACAAGTGTAATATAACTGCTAAATATACCATCATACTGTCATTATATTTTTAATAGAGAATCAAAAGCTTTTATCGAAATTTTCCAGGTTTGATGTACAAATTATTTGTCGATCGCTTTTGCTCATTATTCGCTTTTGCGCTCCGTTAATGTTTTGCATTTGAAATGATGATCGAACGATTGACGCAACATTGCTTTATCATATTCCAGAACGTATCTATGGTTCGATGAAAAGGGGAAAAAAACGAGGGTGGCCGCACCACAATATATAGATTACGTTATGACATTTACGCAACGCACCGTTAGCGACGAAACTATATTTCCGACAAAATACGGTGAGTCTCTCATTCAATTACTTTTATATTTCAATTCGTTAAAAACCTGCCAAAATAAAAATATTAATAATTTTTTTAAATTAATTAATTAATATATAATTAATAAACGTTCGTTTTTTAATAACACTTTGGTATTATCATAAAAATTTATCGATTATACACTGATCAACAAAACAAATTTTTTGGATGTTTGAGCGAATTTAAGGTATTTCAGGGATACTGAATCCAAAAATGACAACAGTTCAGCCGAATTGGCTCTAGTTTTTGAGACAATGGATACTCAATTTACGATTTTACCCCAATATGATCTATAATTATTGACATATGTAGCAGTTTAGTCTGTCTTTTTATTCTTTAACATTGTTTTTATCAATGTGATCCTAATAACCTATATAAGAGAAAATCGTATAAACAATATTTTTCTATGCATTAATTGTGATTATCTGAATCAGCTGACTTTGTTTTTATATTATTTTACTGAATACATAAAGCCACTAGGTGTTTCATATATATACTTTTGTAAAATTTGGGGCTACGCCTGACCATTACATTTTTTGCATTTTTTATGTTTTTCACGGAACCATTATCTCAAAAATTAGAGCCATCTAGGAAAATCATATTCGGAATTAGTGTCATAAAGTTACCCTAAAACTGGTTTATAATTGACAATAAAATCAGTGTTAATCAGTATTATTTGTCTGATTTATTTTTGTATGTTATTGTATACAGGGTGTAACTAAAAATACATATATAGAGCACACTATCAGATTCTATGGCTAATTTAGAAACGATTTTTTCTCAGCGAAAATGTTAAAGAAGGCCATCACTTTTTGCATGTTTCTAATTTTTGCCATCTTGTATCTTTTGTAACTAAGCTTTAAATTAAAATTCTATTATGTAGTTTTATTAATATTTTAACTCTACAAATCAATCATTAATAACTTGAAAATTATTAATGCCTCGACATTTTTACTGAGGAAAAACCGTCTCCAAATTGGACAGAATTGGAATTTGAATTTGAATTTTTGTCATCTTGTATCTCTTTTTATAACTAAATCTAAAATTAAAACTCTATTAAAGTAAACTCTACCTGAAATTAACTGAAAATGTAGTTTTATTAATATTTTTTAACTCTATAAATCAAATTGGTGTCTCGACATTTTTATTGAGGAAAAATTGTCTCCAAATTGGCCATAGAATTGGAATTTTATGGTACGCTCCATTTATTCAGTTACACCCAGTATATCATGTTCAAATGAATTAAGAACCAAGGAATGGATTGGTTGATCATTGCTGATTGTTGATTATGTTTTTTTTTCTTTTTTCAGCAAACGAATTCCCGAGCTCGTTCGAGTCGATAGTGCGTAAGATCCTGCGGCTACTGTACCACGTGGTGGCACACATCTACCACTGCCACTTCAGGGAGGTGGCGCTCTTGGGGTTGCACGCTCACCTCAATTGTGTGTTCGCCCACCTCACGCTCCTTAATCAACGCTTCAACCTTATAGATCCCAAGGAAACGGAGATCCTGGGGGACCTAGAGGCCGCCCTCTTGGGTAAGCTTTATATATGCCCGCCACCGCCGGTTGCCAACGATGCGGTATTGATCGATGCTGATTACGCAATGCCGCCGAGAGATCCGAGACCGAATTGCGCAACGGAATATTTCCTTTGACGATCGATATAGGGGTCGCGTATGTGTGTCTTGAGGAAACATTTCCCATTACAGGGTGTCTACTTCTTGAAAGGATCGAGAGAACCTAGCGATGTTGCCAAAGATCTTTTTTTTATCTTGAAAAATCCGGAACGGACTCGGGGAATTTTTCAAAAATTTTCTGTTTGATCATTTTATTTACTAGTATTTGACGTTAAAAAGTTAATGATTTAACTTAGCTTAGATAATTTAAAATGTATTAATTTTTAACTTCAACTAATTATTTTTGATCAAGTTATAAACGTATTTTTTTTTTAAATAAAACTTTTCTCGACCGTACTGGCAAATATTATTTATTAAATCACAACGTTTCGACCCTTCTTTGAGGAAAATTGTCTCCAAATTGGCCATAGAATTGGAATTTTATGGTACGCTCCATTTATTCAGTTACACCCAGTATTCATGTTCAAATGAATTAAGAACCTTGATCATTGCTGATTGTTGATTATGTTTTTTTTCTTTTTTCATTCCCGAGCTCGTTCGAGTCGTTTTCCTTATCAAGTAATTTGTGAAAATAAAAATAAAATTATAATTTTATTTTTATTTTTACAAATCACTTGATAGGGACCCCAAGAAACGTTGTGATTTAATAAATAATATTTGCCAGTACGGTCGAGAGAAGAGTTTTACTTTTTTAAATTCTGTCTGGCGATTCTCAAATATCTACGTTTGTATTTTTTTAAATTAAAGCATTATTAATCTTTATGTTCATTTGTCATCAATTGTAATTACTAAAAAATATATTTCTATATAAAAATCCAAATTTCTTTGTTATTTGTTATTATAAATTTTAAAAGCATTAACATACAAAATTCTAATTTGATATAAATAATATTTTAAAAAATTAACTTTTGATTTAACTTTAGTTAATTTAATTTTAACTTAACTTTACCTGAGTTAATTTTTTGTTCATGCAACTTTAAACTTAACTGAATTGATTTTATAAGCAACTAACCTTAACTTAACTTAGTTTAAAAAATCATTAACTTATCCAACCCTACTTAAGACCTAGCATTTAATAACTTAACAAACATATTTTTGCAGTATTTGAGTTTTTATTAAAATTTCATATAATTTTTTTATTGACAATCTTCTTTTAGTAAAGATCTTGTAAGTTTCATAGAAAATTGTTCAATTTTTAAATAATATTTAAATAAATTAATAGTTCTTGAGACGTTTCTAATAAATTATTTTTTGTTTCATATTTTTATTTTATATTTTTGCATATGTCTTTAGCATTTAAATATTGTGATATATTGCACTTTGTTATATTGTCCAAATTAATTTTATGATTAATAGATCAATATTAAACGCTAGAAAACTGCATTCTTAATTTTCTTTGCAATCGTACAAATAAAAAGCATTAAAAAACGCATATAATAAAGAAACTTATTTTAAAAAGTTACGTTTACACAAAATTTCTTATTTTATTTGAAATTTTTAACAAAAATGCGATCAAAGAATTCTCAAGGAATTTTTTTACAAGATTTGAGTAGACACCCTCTCATTATTCAATTTTTTATCGAGACAAACAATTGGAGTTTAGAATGAAAAAAAAATTTTTTTAATTTATTAAAAAATTATTTTGAAGCTACTCGATTGAACCAAAAGTTTATTCGCGGTTTTTGACAAGTAATTAGCACAACCAACTTTATCCTTAATGTACTTGTATATAAATTCACCTTGATAAGTGATACTTTCTATTGTATTTTAGAAAAAAGAAATAGAAAAAAGAATAAAATAAACTAGTATACAAACATTTTATTTATATCCATAAAAAACTGCACTTTCTTCTTTCCAACACAATTTTTGTTTACTTAATAACTGCATGCATTAAAAATGACAGCTGATTAGTTTCAGCAGTTTCCTATTTGGGACACTCTGTATATAAACTTGCTCGTATCGTTAAGACTAGCTAAAAGGCTTCCTTATAGGGATCAGTTTGCGCGATTATTAAGGAACGAGCCCAATTACGGTGTATTAAATGTATATTTAGCCGGTTACATTATACTAGTCGATTAATTCCTTCCCTGACTGTTTGCTTCCAGGTGACTCGACATCCGCGCCTTCGCAGACCTTAGCCATCCAGGAGACTCCGACCACCACAACCACTACCAGTACCACCTAGATGATCGCGATGTGTAATAGCGCGCGAACAGAGGTTGCAGTTCCTGAGACTAGGTGACGATAGGCAATTCGTTCGTTCGTTCAGTTTCTTTTTGCCTCCTTTTTTTATAGACCACATGCGAAAAATAGAATTTATTGCGATACGATCGACCGGTGGAAGAGAAGAGGAAGAGATAGATAGAAAATATGAAAGAAAGCGGCGATTCTGTAAAAATAATGAAAAAAGATACCAGTAGTACCTGTACATAGCAAAGTGTGAACAACTACATGATGTAATTAGGTTCCTCCGTTTGTTGTTTGTGAGATTGTACATAATTTATTAAATGGTAAGATATACATGAGAGAGAGAGAGAGAGAGAGAGAGAGAGAGAGAGAGAAAGAAAGAGAGAGAGAGATAACGAGTGAGAATGAAAGAGCGCGAGAGCGAGCGAGAGTGGGAGAGAAAGAGAAAAAGAGCGCGATAAAAAAAACGAGTATTGATTATTATTGACAAAGTTAGTTGCTATAAGAGATGATTTGTTCTGTAAAAAAATGATACAATAATAATATTGTAAAGTTAAAATAATACCAAATATATACCTGGTGTTAAGGCACATGTCTTATTGATGACGAGTTAAGAGCTGCGAAGAGATCCATCCTTCCTTCTAGAAGTGAAGATATCAATCAAGTCACTTCAAATAGCAAGCATACGTCATTTTGATGTCGAATGACGTTTACTACTTGAAGCAAAAATCCTCCAAAGATTCCTAATATCTTAAATTATTCAAAACTGTTCCCCCTCAACCTTTCTCAAGAATTTCTAACTTTCCACTCTACGAAGTTCAGGTGCAAGCTGTGGTGGCGGACGTGTGCACGTGTTTCACTTCGACGAGCCGGATTGCGGCGCAAAGATTCGCGATCTCCCGCAAAAACAGGCCGATCGCCTCTGCTATCGGCTCGCAGAGATCCCTGAACGATGTGGCGATATTGTAGAGGAGAATCAGTATCGGCTGCACGATGGCGTTGAACAAAATGGACAGCAGCGGCTTCACAAAATAATCCGCCACTAATTGAAGTATCCCGACTGTTAGCGGTCGGATCACGCTATAGAGAATGAAGCGGAAAAGCTGGAGAATAAAAGCTGTGACGAAGGCGATGCCGATGTGAATCGTGCCAAAGATCTCTGCCCAAAAGCGAGTTGCCGCTTGATCCGTCTTTTCGGCGCACTTGTCCGTGGCCAAGACAGGATGGCAGTCAGTTGTTCGATAATAGCTGCAAGAAATATCACTTTAGTCTTTCGTCAGTTTCGCTTAATTAGTTTATATTAGGCCTGACTATGTGAAGTTGATGAACTCATTACGGTACAATTGAGAGGACCTGTTAGCATTCATCGATCGATATCTAAAATGACTAGCATGATTGATCAGCCAGAGAATCCTAGTGTTTAAACTGATCAATTAATAATGGATTATCGGGTATTGTGTGTGGTGCTCAGTACAATTGTTACATATTTTATTGGTGATTACTGGTCTTCTTCAAAGTGTGCAGTTCCCTTAAGAAGCTGCACATCCTATTTCACTCTTCTAAATTAATTTTAGAATTATAAAATGGTCCTTAAAACTGCCATTACTCTTAATGTTATCAATTTCTTTCAATATTTCCTTTATCTTTGTTCCAATATTTACTTGTGCTTTTGAGCTAAAAACTCTCGTACGAAACTATGACAGTTCTGAAGATCATTTCAGCAATAAAATATGCATGTATCAATTGTAGCGTGATGAGTTCAATGATGAACTTATTTATATTGCTAGATCTAGTATATCAATTAAATAAACCTCTCAAAAAATTATTTATTATATTATTATGTTAACTGAGAAATCAGTGCGATTGAAGCAAACGTTCGGACATGTCTTGCATATGTTTGCGATGCTTACGCGGAGCTTCCGTGATCGAAGTAATAAATCTCGATCTTCTCTGTCACTTCTTCCTTCTTGAGCTTCGTCTTCGCCGGATACTTAAGGGGCTTCAATTTACCGGCATTGTACTTGGTGCTCTTACTCGGTATTCCCCCGATGTCCGACATCTCGTAAGCGGCGAAGGGTTGAAAGGGTTCATGCGGTGGCTGAGTCGTCTCAAGATGCTGTTTAGGCATGCCTTTGAGCGGCACCTGGGCATAGTGGGGACACTGAATCTGCTTTAACTTTATCTCGTACATCTTGTCATTGCTGAAGTACCCATTTCTCTGCCGTTTCCAGTTGAACCGACCCCAAAACGGCCGCGATTGCGATTTTTCTAAAGAAGGTATGTGTTTATAAATTTTTATTTACCTACTTCAGATATGGAGTTAATGTCCTATATAATTTCTATCAATGTGTATTGTAATCTCCGTATGTAGAAGATTCTTATGATTTTCTTCTATTCTAAATCTGTCGAACTAAATTAGAATCCAAATTTACAAATAAAATAAGAATCTTTTACAATATTCATCACGAGTATATTTAGATTAGGTTTAACAAAGTTGACGAACTCATCACGATACATTTGCTATCTTAATACTGATTAGCATATTCAAAATAGTTCCCTTGGAAAGTTACATATCGATCCCAGACAGCACCATGTCTAAAATTGGTGCATGACATCTTTAAGATGTTTTTAAGATGTCTTTGGGATATCACATCATAAGATTTCTTAAAGATGTCTTAAAGATTTTTAATGATGTCTCACATACCAATTTTGAACATGGTGCTATCTGGGATGTTAGCACTTTTGTCACCCTTCCAAGTCAGTTTTGGAGTAGTTTAATCAGCAATAAAAGTTACGTAACAATCTTAATCTCAACTTTATTGTCAGAGATCCTAGCTATACTAGTGCAATAAAGTTGATGAACTCATCACGGTACGATTGCTACATCTTTTATTGCTGATTAAACTGTTTCAAAACTGCTTTGAAGGGTCAAGAAAGTATTGACATCGATGCGTTGCTTTCCAAGGGGACTATTTTGAATAGGATCACAATGATAATCGTCGCTAGTACAGCAAATTAAATATCTCCATTCTGGACCAGACGATCATTTCTATTATGTACCTTTCTTTAATTTCATGGGCAGAACGTAACCGTTGCTGAAACGATAAATCTGCTTTTGAGAAAACAAGTCGGCAAACGGATAATGAAGGGCGTGATGGCGTTACATTTTGTGACTACGGCACAAGCAAGGGGTGAAACTCAATTGTGTGGCTACATCAGGCGGATCCCTTGAGTTCTCTCGCTGACGGTTCGGTTTTGCTGGAGTCGCGGATTTTGGGGTTTCCGCTGTCGCGGCAACGCAATAAGTCGCGATCGGCGTCGAACATTTACAATCCGTATCTGTAGACTCAAGCAGAGAGCATATTGAGTGATAAATATATGTAAATAATTCTAAAAAGGACAGGCCATTTTTAGTTCGATTTTATGGGATTTAATCAATCAATCTTATGGGATAATCGCATTTATGGGATATTAATTTTATGAGATTTAATCAAATTTATATAATTGGATTTTCATAGAACATACCTTTAGGTCCTTCAACATCATTTTCCTTCTCGATCATTTTAGTGCAGACTTCATTCACGACGTCAGAATTTACAGCCGAAGTAACATCGTCCGAATGCAAAGATGTTAGATTGGATGGTTCTGTTGTGTCCGCGCAAGAACAATCCTGTCCGGTAACCATATTATCAAACATTTCCTTATATTAAAACACATAGAATATTATATAAAATAACATCAACATCGAGTAACGCAAACGGAACTGTCAGAACAATATAACAAAAGTGATTTGCAGTTGTATACAGATTGCAGTTGTCTCATTTTAACACTCAAATATCTCGAAAAATATCAAGGAAAATCGTTTTGAACAAAAAAATTATTTGGTTCAAAGAGGGACATAAGATGGTGTCATTGATTTGACCTTGAATAGTCATTTGAAGGTCACTTTTAATTTCTTTACTATGAACCTCAATTTTTATTGCCTGTTCTTATAGCTTATCTCAAAAGCTTTCCAAAACACTATAATAAAGTATATTTTCTTTAAGTACTTTTCAAGTTACAAAGTTTGAAAATAATGATTTTTTGACATAAAATGTAAAATATTTTGTCAAATATTCAGTTTTTGGTCATTTTACCTTAATACTTTTATGCACAGAATAATAAGACCAATCAATTGGTATAAAAAAAACAAATAATTGTTAAAAAAATTAATTTGCAACATGCAGCTGCATGCTTTTTCTTAAAAGCAATTACATATGACAACTACAAGATAATCCTCAGGATAATTTCCATAATAATCTGCATTATTTCTCTTTCCAGATAGAGCAAGTAGGAAAATTCTCTTCGTTGCCATCACTAATTCAGTAATTGATGGCCGGCAAGACAAAACCCTTTTTGGTCAGCAAAGGCCAATAAATCATTAAGAAGCCATCATAAAAAATTTTTTTACAGTTGTAAAGATTCTTCAGTTATCGAAAAATTCTTATAATCTATAAAAAGAAGCTATAAAATTTCTTTCCATTTATAATTTATATCATTGAAAATCTACATGTCTACGTCGTGTTTCCTTTCAGAAAACAAAACTGAGATGTATTTTTGGCATGTTGTATACTGTATTTTTATTCCTCTTTTGTGGCTATAAGACATAATTTCCTCCAAATGATATACCAAAAATTATTACATCTTTCAATATATGTATATATCGCGTTTCCTTCAAGGTTTTTTCTCTCGAGCGAAATAGATACACATAATTAGACTCTTATGTACATATCGAAGATAGAGCTTGAAATAGATATATATATATATATATATATATATATATATATATATATATATTATGACGATTCAAAGAGACAGTAAATGACGTATCATCATTGTGTGTGAATACATTGTGTTATAATTCGTCAAAAATTTAACAGCAATTCGAACATTCAATGTATTTGCGTGTTATACATCATCTTGCTTTTCGTTATTATTATATTCGCTATTATTTTCGCAAATCACAGTGGATGGTAAAAGGTGTCGTATTGTGAATTACAACTTTATATATACCTGTAGGAATTTTTTCCTCTTGTATAAGATATACAGGGTGTCCAATTTTAATCGACCACCCCCAACAACTTTTTGTTTTTAATATTGTACAGCAAAATGTTTCAAACAAAAATTATTCGATTTAAAGGAGGGGGGGCAAATATTTCTTACTTTTTCTGAAGGACGTTTTTCAAGGTCATTTGAAGGTCGTGTATGTTACAATCAAAAGTAAAAAAGTTCTTGGGAGTAATTGATTAAAATTGGATTCTGTATATATATACATACATATATATATATATATATATATATATATATATATATATATATATATATATTCTTTTACAATCTTAAAAACTATGAAATTATTCTTATTCGGAGCTTAAGAAAAAGAGCGTAGCGGTAGAAACGTGCGTACGTGTGTTAAATAACATTCATCACGACTGTATAATATCCTTTGGCTGTAAAAACATCATTTTTTTTGTCGCTTGCTATATCGATATACTTATGATTTTATGGGAGCGAGAGAGGAGAAACGGAGATCGGTATAATTTAACGAGGCAAATATTAGATATGTCCCCAAGTAGCTGACGTCATTGTGACGTCCAATGACGTATGCTTGCTGCCTGGGTCCACGCATATCTGAAATTCAGCGAGAAATTATCGCGATCCCGATTTTCTTACACAATGTATATATATACAGGAAGTTAAGATAATACACATCTTTAGATCTTTCGAATGAAAGAAGCAATCACACAACACAGTCATTAAACGAAATTATATCTCACAGTTCTATAAATCTCAGTTGGACTAGATTGCGAAATAAAAAGTATATAAAAAGATTGAATTCAGTCGTTCTATAATACGAAATAATGCCTTTGACGAGAACATAATTATATATTTGACACAATATATTGATATTATATAGTACAATCAATATATCATATCTTTATACTGCTCTATATATATCCTTTTTAATATATTTTTATACATGTATCTCTTTTTTGCTAACAACATTGACATAGAGTTACTTAGTTTTGCAATATATAATAATTGTGTAATTGCTATTTCAGGTGTATTCATATTAAAACTATCTGTATGTTTCAACATTTTTTTGTACACGAGTGGTTTCCTTATATCATTCTGTACAAGAAGTCGTTGGGTGTGAAAACTCGTATTAATATATTGTAATATGACATAATTGATAAATCTTTCGCGAATCTAGAGTTGAACGTGTGATGATGATGATTTCGAAGACGCATATTCCTTTAAATCACATTGAAATAGAACTGATATAATTATATATACAGACGCGTCAAAAATAAAGTGTACAATATTTATATACAAATGCGAGTTGAATTGAAACATGAATTTGTTATAATTAAAAAAAATGTCTTCGTATAATATTAAAACGCATATACGATCTCATCGCAAAACGTTGTGCTTAGAAAAATGCTATGATAAATTAAATGTTACATTTATCATTTAAAAAATTAGACAAAGTTATATTATGCACTCCATTTTTGATCGATTCGTTTTCATACGCATTCACAGAAATCAAAAAATAATCAAACTTACACAATTTTAGATTTACATTTTACATATATTAATATCACATCTTTTTTTCTCTTTGATAATTGATTAGATTCTGAAAACTCTTTATAATTATTATTCCATGTCTTATAATTTATAACGATACATATGATAAGTAATGACTCCAATATTAACACGATGAAAAGTCTTGACGATAGATTTATATTAATTATAATTTCTGAAATACTTTAAGTCAGGTAAAATATAAAACTAATTGTACTTTGCTAGACCTAAAAGAGTTTGTTTCGCGCGTTACAATTAAAGAGAATTAAAACTAAATTGAACAACCATTTTTTTATCATTCTTTCACTATAAGATTTCCATTTCCGTGAGCACATCTAAGGAAATAATACTTGCAATAATATTTTTCACTGATGACTTATTTGAAAAAAAAGTCAAAAGACTATAATATATTGTATAAATTGGACGTTCATCTCTATCGTTATATTTTCATTATAAAATGCTACCATCCATCGATTTTGTGGAATGTATAAGCAGTATAATAATTTCATTATTTCTGCAATAATCTGTATACACAATTTGGAAGAATTATCAGTTTGGAATTTAAAGCTTCTGATTTCTCCCGGCTCATATTGGAATTGTGATGTCAGAGGCGAGAAAAATTCTTAGATATTATTTCGATAAAACAGCACATCAGATAGTTTTAGCACTCTTATTTCTTGAAAGCTATCGTTTTCGTTGATTGACTATCAAGGAAAAAAAAGTTTTTAAAGTATTTTAAAAATGTGTATTTTCAAAATTTAAAAATGCTAAAACTATCCGAAATGGTGTTTAATCGAAACATCTTTTCATTTATAAATAGCATCTAAGAATTTTCAATCGGTATTTTCTCGCCTCGACGTCATAATCTAATATGGCCGCGACGAGGATCCAGGAGCCTTAAATACTAAATATAAGCGCTCCTTGTTGTGTTAAATAATTTCTTTGTTCTACGTAACAATATTTTAAACTTACTCTTTGCTCAATATATAAAAAGCCATTTTTGTGACCTATATAAATTTTTTTTGTTTTGACGAGATATGCTTGATATACATTATACGCTACAACAGTCCTTAAATAAATATTACAAATAATTTTTGTAATATTGATTTGTGATCGCATGAGTATCGCATTATCATGATAAAAATTACATTTTAGTCATAATAACCGATACAAATAATAATAGTTGAGTTTAACAGAAGTTTTCTAATGTTGAATACACGTAAATGCATTTCAAGAAGCATAACATGGCACTTAAGTCAGGTAGAGAGTCTCTTACAAATACGAACAACAGACTAAACAATAGCTGTTTATGCAGTTTTTTTTACTTTTGACTATAATTCTACTGCACAGCATTTGATTTTCTTATCTCGCATTCTAATTTGCATTATACACATTTATAGCGCACAATATCATATAGGCCACATTTTTAATATTTATTTTTTTTTTTGGATCTTATACGAATTTTAATCTTTGCATTATATTTGCTTGTTTAATTTAAATCTTATATGTCAAAAGTTTTTATAATTATTTTACACATGTTATGTAAATTTTATTTTTTTAATTACAAATTAGATGAATTTATCGAGGATATAGATAAAATAGATATTCCTCGATTTTTTTGTAGAAAGAAAAAACATAGCTTAATTTCTTCATAGAATAACGGATGAAGTAACTTATAAAATAATCTTATAGATTTAATTATTTGTATAGAAAAGCATTGAAGCTCCTTATATCTTTGTTCATTGAATATTATATACTTTCAAACTCTAAGTGCATTTACTTCTTGAAAAAGACAATGATAAATTTGATAAATCGTCAGTTATTATCCATGGATTGTGATATTGATATTCAAATGGGGAATAATCAGTAAATAAACGCGATTTAAGGCAAATGATTAATATTTACAATATGCGTCTACTATAAAGAATTGTATTATCTAATAATTACACAAAAATGCTAGAAATACAAAAAAAAAGATGATACGATCTGTGAAAAAATTGATCGAGATAATTATATTAATTAACCCTCCATTCTGCCAAAATTTTTTCCAAGCTTAATTTTACAGATTAATGTTTTAATTTTTAAATTCCTCCTTATGTATCAACTATTACAATAATTTCAAAATTATATGGAACTCCATTCTCTCTCGTATCTTTGAAGATACATGTCATTATTTAATTTGGGCAACAGAGAGGACTAACTGATAAAATATTTGTGCAATTAAGTTGTTTCGTCGCTCATCATCAATATCTTTAAGTAGAGCACAGGTGGGATATGCACAATTGCGAAATGTAAATCTTTCACGACGTCATCACAAGTCGAAAAGTTTCGTATATACAGAGTGTTCCACAGGAAATTGCTAAAACTAATCAGTTGTCATTTTTTAATGCATGCAGTTATTGAGAAAATAAAAATTGTGTAAAAGGAAAGAGGAAAGTCTACAATTTTTAATGGATGTGAATAAAATGTTTGTATACTAGTTTATTTTATTGATAAAAAGTAATGAAAAAATTGCTAATAATCACATAAAATCACATAAACTAATGATAAATATTTTCAACAGTGCCAGATTTAATAGCGGCTATTAAAAGGATCGTCGATAACATTAAAAATGACATGTTGGAAAAAATTTTTACGAGTTTTCGTAAAAGAACAGAATTTTGTACAAATTCAAATGGTGCGCACTTCAAAAATATTTATCATTAGTTTACATATGTAATTATTAATTATTAGCACTTTTTTCATGACTTTTTTCAATAAAATAAACTGGTATATAAACATTATTTAGATCCACTAGATAACACAAGCGCACGCTTCGCGCGCGCTAAACAAACTTTTTCTTCGCGAGTGTACATAATTTTAATTTGCTGAATTTCAATTATGTACATAACTTAAATTCTCGAATTTCTATTATATACATTCATTGAATTAAATAAGTACATAATAGAACACATCATTTTTACATTACGAGGCGCTTGAACGCTACGTACCTACCCTAACTGCGAATATATCGCAACGCACCAGCATCCAATCAGCATCGTAGAAAAAATGGCTTCAACGCTTCGAGTTATATTCGAGTGATCGACTTAACATACACTTTTTAAGGAAAAGATGAAAAACTGCAGATCTTTTCTCTTTTCAACACAATTTTTGTTTCCTCGATAACTGCATGCATTAAAAAACGACAACCGATTAGTTTTAGCAATTTCCTGTGGGACACCTTGTATTTTTTTGCTGCTGTATCGAAAAGTCACTTACGTGTTTTTGCGGCAACTCTTTGGTGGCCCGAAAAATACGTCAGGCATAAGTGATATGGTGTATATGTATGTGTTGCGGATGTGTGTGTACTTAGCTTCTCGCGACTCTGCAATAGCACAATAACAGTCTCTCTCTCATTTCAACGTTCTCTTTACGAGATTCTAAACGTACTGAAAATTATCCTTCTGTGCGAGCAAAGGTAGCTTCTCGATGCTTTGCTTGAGATCGAAGCTGTGCAACCAGTCCGAGCTGGGTTTCGCCTTCACCCCGCAGAAGCTGAAATTGCAGAAATCCGCGGCGTTCTGCAGGGCACCGCGATGGAACGGGTTTCCTTGCTTGAAGTGCTTGTAACGACCAGCGTTCATTCGTTCATTCGTTGTCATTCCCAGGACCATAATCTGCGAAAAAAATATGTAAGAATTAATAATCCTTTTTGAACTATTAAAATTTTCTATGAAACTTACAAGATTATTCTGAACAAAAAATCGTGAATAAAATCATATAAATTTTAATAAAAACTTAAATATTGCAAAGTTATGTTATACATGAGAATGAAACTATCAAAGAAACATAATTTTCGGAAAAAATTCCTCAATAAAATTCAAAAGAACTTCCGGATTTTTCAAAATAAAAATTCCTGATCCTTAGTTTTTCTAGAAAAATAAACATCCTGCTCCATTGTAATCTACAAAATAATTATAAAATTACAAATCATTTCATTTCATTTCTTCATTTTCTCGTTTCTTCAATTTTTGTTTTCTTCATTTTCTGATTTCTCCAATTTTTGACTCTTTATCTTCTTCATTTTTAAAATAATTTATTAATCTTCACTATAGTAAAGTGAAGAAAACAGAAAGAATGAAATAAGAGAAAAAATAGAAACAATTTTAATTCACTTTCTCGTTTCTTCAATTTTTGTTTTCTTCATTTTCTTATTTCTTCAATTTTTGATTCTTCATTTTCTTCATTTTTTACAATAATTTCTTAATCTTTTTAATTTCGTATCAAAAATTTTAAAAAAATCGCACTTTACCTGATAACATTGACACGCCAACAGGGTTCCGACCCAGAAGGAATGAAGAGATGTGTTGGCTGCTACCCACATCACCCAAGCGTCGCAAGTAGCCGCAGCTACCAGATAATTGTCCGCGCTGTGACCGTTCGTTAAGTTGGACCAACATTCGAATTGCCAATACTGTACACTGGCGGATAAAATAACGATGCACAGTCCGAGCAATGACGCCAGAAATCCAAGAAAATACTTGTGATTGTGCGCACCTACAAATGACGCAATTAGTCTCCATTGCTTAGCATCATTTCTTTAATTTTTGATTCTTCATCATCTTCATTTTTTTATAACTTAATAATCTTAGGTCTGTTCTTTTCAGCTGTACTAGTTCAGAGTTTATCTCTTTCCTTCCAATGTGGAGTAAAAAATTCTTCATAATAGTGAAGTGAAGAAAACAGATGATATAAAATGAGGGAAAGTGGAAAAAATATTTAATTTAATATCAAAAATTTAAAAAAAGAAAACAATATAAAACAAACTGAATTACCATGGACATTGGTATATTTACTTACCGATGCAGTTGTTAACCCATGGACAATGATGATCGAATCGCGCTACGCAACGATCGCACGTGGAACAATGCTTGGATCTCATGGGTCTCCTGACTAAACAACTACTGCAGAACCATTGCGGCTCGAAGCCACCCGATTCGGCCAATTCGATTATCGTCTGACAAAAGATAAAGATACATTTTAGTTTCTCATGCGTATTTTGGACAGTTTTATGCGTTATTATGCAGGGTGTCGTATAGGAAATTGCTAAAACTAATCAGCTGTCATTTTTTAATGCATACGGTTATTGAGAAAACAAAATTGTGTTAAAAACGGGAAAGTCTGCAGTTTTTAGTGGATATGAATAAAATGTTTGTATACTAGTTTATTTTATTTAAAAAAAGTAATGAAAAATGCTCATAATCATATATGTAAACTAATGATAAATATTTTCGAAGCCCGCAGCATTTGAATTTGTACAAAATTCTAATCTTTTATGAAAACTCGTAAAAACTTTTTCTAACATGTTATTTTTAATGCTATTGATAATCCTTTTAATAGCTGCTATTAAATCTTGCACTGTTGAAAATATTTATCATTAGTTTATGTAATTTTGTGATTATTAGCACCTTTTTCACTACTTTTTATGAATAAAATAAACTAGTATGCAAATATTTTATTTATAGCCATTCAAATCTGCAGACTTTCCTCTTTCCAACACAATTTTTGCTTTCTTAATAATTGCATACATTAAAAAATGACAGCTGATTAGTTTCAGCAATTTTCTATGGGACATCCCGTAGATACAATAGAAAAGGTACATTTAATTTATCCTCATGAGTAGCCGTAATAATTCCGGGATCACCTCGCCAAGATTGTAGGAAGCATATCCAGAGAGGAACAGAACCGCCAACCAATAATAACCATAAATACCAGGCTGCGTGGACACCCAGCCAAAATACCCACGTAACATAGATCCACATCTAAAAAAAGAAAAATATATAATTCAAATTAAATATATAATTAAAATTTGTACATATATTCAATTGCAAAAAAATGTTTGTACATGCATAAATATATTCCCACAAAGTATATCAATGCAGATATGTATATCTATAAACAATGAAAAAATTAGACAAAACTATATTATGCACTTCATTTTTCGTTCATCGATTCGTTATTATGCATTCATAGAAATCAGAAAATAATTAAACTTATGCAACTTTGGATTTACATTTTACATATATTAATATCACTTCTTTTCTGTTCAATAATTGATTAGATTCTGAAAACTCTTTATAATTATTATTCCATGTCTTATAATTTATAACGATATATGATAAGTAATGACTCCAATATTAACATGATAAAAAGTCTTGGCGATAGATTTATATTAGTTATAATTCCTGAAATATTTTAAGTCATGTAAAACATTAAACTAATTATACTTTGCTAGACTTAAAAGAGTTTGTTTCGCGTTACAATTAAAAAGAATTAAAACTAAATTGAGCAACTATTTTTTATCATTCTTTCATTATAAGGTTTCCATTTCCATGAGCGCATCTAAACAAATAATACTTGCAATAATATTTTTCACTGATGACTTATTTGAAAAAAAATCAAAAGATTTTATAATATATTGTACAAAATTGGACGTTCATGTCTATCGTTATATTTTCATTATAAAATGCTACCATTCATCGATAGTATGAAAGAGTATATCAGTGCAGATAAATCTATAAACAATGAAATATTGACAACTTGTGTAAGCAGTTTTTGCGCTTAATATAATATATTAGAATATATTCGAGTATTAATTGGTGTTTCGTTCTTCATTATATTATCAATATATATTCTATTTAAAATTTATGTATTATTTTATGTGTTATATCGTATTATCTTTTGAGCTTATCGCGTTATCGGAAGTGTTACTTATCACGCTTAAGTAGTTTATCAGAAATCGTACGTTGTAAATGTCTTCGATTTATCTAGGATGTATATCGGACGATCAACTCACCTTGGTCGCCAAATAAATCGACATTGGTAATATATGGAACAGCCGTTCGTCGAACACGAAATGGTTCATTAGATACACCGCTACGTAAAGAATGATGAAGGCACCTAGTTTTAGTAAATAATCCCATCCGCTCTGTAGAGTCATGCCGATCACATAAAATGCTATAAATGGCGTACTGACCATGCAATACCAACGGATTCTCTATAAGAAAATGATATAATAATCAAATAATGCATTTATATACAAACTGAGAATAAATCTAATAAATCTCTAGCTTATTCTACATACGTTTTTTTTTAATAAAATTCTTCAAATTTTATTTTATTTTAATTTTACTTTAATTTAATTTAATTTTAAAAATCCTCAATGAGATCACTTTAATATACAGGGTGTCCAGAAAATTGCCCGCAATACTTCGGGAGGTGATTTGGGACCCAAAAAGAAAAAAATGTTATATAAACATAGGTCCGGAAATAAGTCGTTTCCGAGCTATAGCCACTTTTATTTAATTTTTTTAAATTTTATTTTTTAATTTTTAAAAATTTTTCGATATTTGTAAATACGATTACATAATTTTTAAAAATCAAGAATAAACATAAATAAATATTTAAATTAAATTAAATAAGATGTTCAAAATGGCCACCTTTAGCACGAATACAGGCTCTTATTCTTCTATCAAATAAGGAATTCCGAACTCTTTAAAAACATTTGGATCCTTCCTTATTTCTTCGAATTCATAAATTATTCTTTGTCTTAAGTCAGGAATATTATTGGAAAAATTATTTAATATGATTTAAAATTAAAAAAAAATTAAAAAATATCAGAAACGACTTATTTCCAGACCTATGTTGATATAACATTTTTTTCTTCTTTTTGCGTCCTAAATCACCTCCCTAAGTATTGCGGGCGATTTTCTGGACACCCAGTATATTAAAAAAAATTGGATATACTTATTAGAACACATAATCATTACCTTATCTCTACACCATGTTCTTGTGCGACCTTGCTTCTCTTTAATCTCGTGACTAATTTTGTGCCCTAGCCAGGCTGCGCCGATGTGCGGACCTAGCAACGTCATCGGCGTCTCGTTTTGGAAATTGGGCAGATCCAAGGAGGCTCCGTGTTGCACCAGAGTGGATATCGCCGTGTTATTTTTCGCTATGATAGCCCAATGTAGAGCCGTGTTGCCGTGCAGGTTGTCGGTGAGCGAGTGCGACGCTCCTAGAGTCAACAGGAGTCGCGTCGGGTCTAAGCTGTAGAAGGAGAGACTTTAAAGTAACCAACATAGCGTTATTCTATGAGAAGAATCACGTTGCTCGCGCCGCAACAACACGGTGTATCCTGTGTACCTATTGACTTTGTAAGCACTCCACATGAGTGGCGTCATGGCGCTTCTGTCTGGCATGTTGGGATTCACGCCTTTCGCCACCAGATAAGCCACGATGGCCGTGTGGCCGAATTGCGCCGCCAGATGTATGCACGAGAAACCTTCCGAGTCCCTCAAGGTCGGATCAGCGCCTGCCCTCATCAGTATGACGACCGTGGAGAGGTGGCCCTGCCTAGAGACACAAGATTACTCTGATTTATTCTAGTTTATTCTAATTTAAATCGGTTAATAAAAAAATAAAACATTAAAAATACATAAATAAAACAAATAAAATATAAATAAATAAAATAAATAAAAATAAAAAAATAAATAAAATATTGATAATATTTTTGTCAAAAACACACTCACCTCGTAGCCCAATGTAGTGGCGTGGAAGCCAACTCGCCGCCAATGGCATCGATCACGGCTCCTTTCGCGATAAGATACTTAACAATGTCTTTCCGATTGTTAATAGCTGCCCAATGAAGCAACGTCACGGTTTCCGAGTCCGGTTGGTTCACGTCAGCACCAGCCTCCACCAATTCTGTCACCCGATCCAATGCTCCATACTGCAAAACACATCATCTTATTTAGTTTTAAATCTTCTCTTGGATCTTTGCTGCGGTCATGTTAGATTGTGACGTCAGAGGCGAGAAGCACATGCTGAAGATTCTTAGATGCCATTTCGAAATAAAAACATATTTCAATGAAACACTATTTCAGATGGCTTTAGCATACTCTTAAAATACTTCAAAGACTATTCTTTTCCCATGATGGTGATATCAAACTTTGTTATGCAGAATGACTGCGCATGCGCAAATATCAGACTAAACTGGGATCAGAGTAAACTGGGTCTCATATTACAGTCATTTTGCAGCTGTTTGATTATAAAGGGAGAAAATGATAATTTTTCAAATACTTTAGAGTGTGTTAAAGCTACCTGAATTGCTGTTTCATTGAAATATCTTTTTATTTGGTTTTTTCGCCTCTGACGTCACAATTCTAACATGGCCGGGTAGGAACCAGAAGACTTAAATAAAAAGAAAATTGATCACACACATTGATATAATGATTCTATATTTCTTTATAAAAAAATATACTAAAGTACAGAGTGTCCCATAGGAAATTGCTGAAAGTAATCGTCATTTTTTAATGCATGCAGTTATTAAGAAAACAAAAATTGTGTTGAAAAGAGGAAAGTCTACAGAACTTTTTTCATTACTTTTTTCAATAAAATAAACTGGTATACAAACATTTTATTTATATCCATTAAAAACTATAGACTTTCCTCTTTTCAATACAATTTTTGTTTTCGCAATAACTACATGCGCATTAAAAAATAACAGCTGATTAGTTTCAGTAATTTTTCCTATAGGCCATCCTGTATTCTATATGATTATGAACTTATGAGTTTTCAGAATACTTAAATCTTACAATAAAATAAATTTCCTGAAGATTCCATGATTTTCCAGATACTTTTGTTCAAAATTCCAGGTAAAATTAAAGTATTTTAAATAATACTTAGAATACAATTTTGAAATAATTATTTGTTATACGTAATTTTTAACATAAATGAAGTAATTTTTTAATATAATAATGTAATATAGTATTATATTATAATAAAATATATTTTAATATATACTTTATATAAAACTAATAAATCTTATATTCTTTAAAATTATATATTTTAAAATCAAAGGAGCAATTTTTTAAGAAATTCCCTGAGTTCAAATCAAATTCCATGATAATTCCAGAATTTTTTAAGGTAGAACAAAATTCTCTGAGAATTTCAGGTTTTCCAGATTTTTTTAGAGAGTATACATCCTGGTTTTTTATATTTATATAACAATTTCCACTTTTTTAACATATATCTAGGATATTTTGGAGATGAGCTCCTCTTATTTGATCGCTGATGATGAGATGATTACCTGTGTGGCTCTGACAATGTCGAAAGAGCTGCAATCTTGCGCAGCAGGTCGTGCTGGTTCCTGATGAAGGCTGCTGGGGTCATCGGGCTCACCAGTGCCCTCGCCCTGGCAGGCAGTCTGCATCTGCAGCGCGTACATCCTGCAATCAACAAAGCAATTTTTAAGGACAATCCTTGTGAAATTGGGTGGAGTTGGCTAATTTTTTCACATATTGTAGCTTGTGACCTATTAAACAAAAGATGTAACAACTTCAAAGCTAAATAATGGACAGTTATTGATTCAAACAGCTTGCAGAGTCCAAACTTTTTTGTGTTTAACTAGCTGTAAATCAGTAAATATATTATTTAGTTAACTCTACAACATATAAAAATGTTAACTCTACAAAAAATGAAAAAATCAAATAATCTTACTAAGATTCAATTTTATATAGGATTAGTGAGGGGTTTTTGAATCTTTAAGAAATCTAGGTGAAATTAGATCTCGATAAAATCAGTTGGTTTTCTCATATTGTAGTTTATGATCTGCTGAACAAGAAATGTAATAGGCTCAAAGCTAAATAATCAGCAATTATTGATTTATAGCCAGTCAAACATGAAAAACTCGAACTCTGTAAATTGTTCTAAAACTGTTCATTATTTAGCTTTGAAACTATTACATCTTTTATTCAGCAGGTCGTAAGCTACAACATATGAAAAAATCAGCCAGTTTCACCGAAATCCAATTTTCATGAAGATTACATATTTATAAGGATTCATAAGAATTAGGGATCCTTATTTTTTGCCTTATTCAAAGTAGATTGATAATAACCAAAAATGATAAAAAGAAAACACTAATCTAATAATGTACAGATTTTTAAATTTTATCATGATTTGTTCTCCAGTAATTTCTATCTAGAAGAACAATATATATAATTTCTTTTATTTAATAAAATAATAGAGACCTCCTTCTTTCATTAATAATTGTTTTGCACAATTATATAAGCAAGAAAATCTGCTTTAGAGTTTAATAAGGAGATAGAGATTAAATATTTATAGGTATAAAACTTATTTATCTTGAATTACAAGATACTAATATTCATTCCTTGTCCTCTTTATTCATTATGATTTTGAATTTCCTTGAGGCATGTCAACATGTAATTTCGTATTCGAGTCAGTAACCAGAGAGAACTTTGTACGTCACGATGTGTATAAATTGTGCTAAATCACATGTTGTTGTCGAGAATACAATAGGTAATGTTTTCCGACTAAATTTTCTATAGTCACCATATATATATACATATATTATTATATTAAAAAAGTTAGCCGGAAAATATTACTCATTATATTCTTGGCAACAATATTAAATATATTATTTATATTATTTTATTATCTATGTATTTTATTTATAATTATTATTTTTTATTTATTTCTATATATATATATTTATATTAAATTAATTGAAATTTAATTTACATTAATTGTATTATGTTTGGTGAATTTTTATGTATTGTATATATAATTGTTTCTTTAGATATTGTTAAAGCATTTCTTAAGAATAAATAATTTATATTTTATTACAATTTATAAATTCTTCGTTAAATCTAGCAAAAGAATATTTTGTTGATTGATTAAATTTAAATCTAATTAAATCTTGCAAATCTATTTTCAAAAAAAAACATTAACTTCCTATAGTTGTAATATTTTCTTTAAATACAACACACAAAGTCCGTAATAGCAATTTTTTTAATTTTATTGCGTAATCAATGCACTATAATTTAATAACGAAATTAATTAACAAGAAAATATGTTCTCATTAGTTATTATATAATCATTAATTATAAATCCCCTTTCGAACTAAATTATTGCCAGATAATTAATTATATTACTATAGAGAATGTTAAAAAATTAGGTTGACAAACTTTTAAAAGAAAAAGAAGAATCCAAAATAAACATTTTTTGTTAATATTAATTTCCTCTACAATGTTAATTTTAATACATAATTTAAATAAAAAATTTAATAATTTTAATGGAGCATTTTTTGAGCATTTATTGTGAGAAGAGTGAATTACTTTTATATACTTGTTTCGTGTTTTGTTCAAGATTAAAATACAATTTAATTTTTTCACTTAAGTATACGTTTGTTTATTGTTTATCGTTTTAAGTCACAAACTTCTATTTAAAAAATACAAAATTAGCGGATCACCTATTAATGGTAGATTTCTGAGATTATTTGGAGACAATTTTTTCTCACAATCAGCAAAAATGTCGAGGCACTAATAATTTTCGAATTACAAGCGACTGAAAATAAAAGGTTTTTCGCAAACTAAGTCTTGTGTAAGTAAAATATTAAACTAAACTACATTTTTCAATTAATTTCAAATAGAGTTTACTATGATAGAATTTTAATTTAAAACTTATTGTTAAGGTACAACAGTGTTTGCTATTATCCAAATAAAATAATATAGATGGTTATCTAGATAACATTTTGGCGTCATCTTATTTTTATATACATAAAAAAAATATGTAATATCTATATCTACATCTTAGATAAAAAAGTGTTATCTTTACTAAATTATTTAGAATATTGTTCAGATAATTTGATTTAGGATCGTAAAAATATTTAACAATAAGTAGAATTTAAGCAGTAAGCAATAAAAAATTACAAAAATATGAATATATTTTTGTTATTTCGTTTACATAATTTACATTTTTTATGACTGTATTTAGCATAAGCAATCGCAAAAATAATATCTAGATGAATCGTAATATAATTTTATCTTTTATCTAGATATATTTATTTTTATGTAGATATATTTAAAATTATTTTTATCTTATCTAAGATGAATTTGCATATTTTTATTTCATCTTTATTTAGCTAATTTTGAAATCATGTAAGCACAACACTGGGTTACAAAGATACATAAAAAATTGAAACATGCAAAAATGATAGTCTCCCTCGACATTTTCGCTGAGGAAAAATCGTTTCCAAATCCCAGGAATCTGTCATTAACAGGTGATCCCCTAATTCTGGGACACCCTATATATACTATACCTACATATACATGCATTTACATATTAAATATAAATTAAATTAAATAAATATATAATAAAAATAAATATATAAGAACTAATTCCCTTGTTCCGTTTTTTTTACTAGAAAAATTCAAGGAAGCTCGAAGACACGAGGTATATCCTTTCCTCATACTATAATACTATTTCGGAAGGGTGACGCAACGCAATTCACCCTCGGGATGTCTCTCTCTCTCTCTCTCTCTCTCTCTCTCTCTCTCTCTCTCTCTCTCTCTCTCTCAGAAAAAGAAAGAAAAATTGATTGATGATCTTTATAACTCTTTCTCAGCAATTGTAATACAAATCTAATTTACATTAATCATAAAACATACTGTTTTAACATTCTCTTTAAACGTCTCAATTTTTTATATTATTTTATCACAGAGAGAATGTATGAGAGAGAGACAGAGAAAGAGAGAGAGAGAGAGAGAGAAAGAGAGAGAGAGAAGCCGAAAAGCATTCACCGTCCACGCTGATCGATCTCCGGAGTGCGCACAAAAATAAATCTCTCTTTATACATACAATTCCACGTAGATGTGCGAATAAAAGGAGGCGGAAACCGGCTCACCTTTCCTTCCACAGCGTTTATGCGCTGCTAATGCCTGACGCGCATAATAACGCGAACGACGACGAGGAAAATGACCTAGTCGGGGATGCGCGAGGGGTTAGTTTCGACGAGCGACCAACTGGAGTAATCGTGCACCAGGGAATGGGGCGCCGGCACATCACACGCACACATGCAGCCGCGCGCGCGTGCGCGCGCGCGCACGCCCGTATGACAGGTGACAGCTACGCGGCAGCGGAGCCGTGCTGGGGTCTCGACGCTCTTCGTGCGGATCCTCGCGGTTGGTTTAGCCTCTCTCGTTCGAACAACAACCGCGACACGACGTAACACACGTCTCGCCCGATCGAAGCTTCTCTCCGCGACTGGCGTCGCGAGCAGAACAGCAGCGCCTCGGCTGCTCTTGTCAGCTGCTCTCCTCCTCGGTTCCGTCATACATATAGTTCGTTGTTTTGGATATTTTTGTGTCACGGGACTCCGAGATCGACCAAACGCAGAACATCGTCGCAGGCAATGCTTGACGTGAAACTATAATGTATATTAACTTTTATTGAAATATATATTAAATATATAAATAAGGAAATTGAGCGCGGAACTTTTTATCCATGCAGCGCCATCTTCCGCGCACGGGAGATACTACAAGGCGCAATTTATTTTGTCCTTCAGTCGGTACATTTTTATTTAAAAATATATCGTATTATCAGTATTTGCTATTATCTAGATAAAATGATCGTATTATCAGTGTTTGCTGTTATCTAGATCAAATTATCGTATTATCATAGTGTTTGCTTTTATTTAGGTAAAATTTTCATATTATCAGTATGTTTGCTGTTATCTAGATAAAAGTATATAGATATGATCATATAATATCTACAATAGATGTGTAATTTTGACGTCATCGTATTTTTTGATAATATATAATAAAAGTATATATATGTATCATCTATATCTACACTTTAGATAAAAAAAGTGTTATCTTTACTATTTATCTAAGATATTATTCAGATAATTTAGTTAGGGTTTTAGCACATAAAAATACTTAATTATTATTTAATTATATATGTATTTTTATATATATATATATATATATATATATATATATATATATATATTTTGTTTATTTCTTTCATTATTTTGCGCATAATTAAAAGGTGTTTATATATATAAGATATATATAAAACCGAGGGGGTAACCACTAGCTAAAATGTTGTCCCACAGATTACATGATTTCATTTGATTTCATGATTTCATTTGATTTCATGATTTCATCTAATTACAAACGATTTCATCTGATTATAAATGATTTCATCTGATTACAAATGATTTCATCTGATTGCAAATAGATTTTTCATTACATATGAAATCATTTCATAAAAGTAATGATTTCATCTGATTACACAATGCATTTTCGTGATTGCACATGTAATCATTTAGGATTTTATGTGACACATAAAATTATAAATAGCATTTTATCTTGAATTTGATCGCAATTTACTACGGAAAGTGCTCGTGCCACACATATATGATTTTATCACAGATTTCATAATGATTACACATGATTCCAATGATTACACGAAAATTCAAAATGATTTCTGCTGACTACATATAATTTCATTATGATTTCTAATGATTCCGCATGATTTCATTTGACTTTATCAATTACATCTGATTACAAACGATTACACGGGATTTCATAAGGATTTCATAAGGATTTCATAATAATTTCGGGGACACTGTCCCACGATTACATTAAGTGGTTACCCCCTCATATAAAACATTGAGAGTAATGAATATTTTTACGTGATATATATATTTATACTTATTCATGTATAAAAAAATATTTATCTATAAACTATATTATTCATTTTTCACATTCTATATTAAATTCTTTTATAACTTTTCCTGTCGAACATTATGAGGAATCAATTTTATATAAAAAAATTAGCTTGACTTTGAAAAACGTTGCCGAAGGACAATTTTAGATCACAATATCACAGATTAATAGACAGATCGCCAAAGGCCTGCCTAAAGAAGAGACCGCCATCTTCGTGCAATAGACTTTGCCCCTTACCGACACACTTTGCCCCTGGTTCGAGTCCGTGCTAAATTCGTAGACTTGAACCAAAAGACTTTGCCCCTGGTTCGAGTCCGTGCTAAATTTCGTAGACTCGACCAAAAGACTTTGCCCCTGGTGCAAGTCCAGGCTAAATTCGTTTGACATTACCAACAGACTTTGCCCCTGGTGCGAATCCAGGCTAATTGATCATGAGACCAATTTGAGAGATTTGGCCCCCGTTGTGTGTGTGTGTGTGTGTGTGTGTGTGTGAGAGAGAGAGAGAGAGAGAGAATATTTTACATATATGCATATATATATAAAATTTATTAAATATAAAAAATATATTTTTTACACATAAAATGTTTTTTTATTGAAATAATCACGATTTTAAATGTGATATAACACAGTGTTCAAAATTTTTTAATTAATTTTTTAATTAAATTTTATTAAAGAAAATTACTTGAAATTTTTTACATTAAGAATTTAAAGGCTCCTTATTCTCTTGTAGAAATTTATCACTACGCCAATTAATCACTTATTTTGAGTATTTAAAATACTATAATATACAGTAATTTAAGTATTCGAAATAAAAGTGATTAATTACTCGAAATAAGTGATAAATTGGCGTTACTAGTAATAAATTTCTATAAGGGTTGAAATAAAGTATAAGAGATAAATAGGCTATATGTGAGCCGTATGCGAAATGTGAGATGTAAGACGCATATTGAAATTTAATTTTTCGATATAACTTTCAAAAATGTACACGAGGTACAAAAAATTAGCTTGGACATTTGTAAGACTTAAAATTGGGATTAATTCTCAATTCTATTAATTAAATTTCGATATAACACACCTTACATCCGCGCACGGCTCACATATATATAGCCCATTTATTAGTGCAATTTTTAAGTTCCTTATTTTTCAAAGTTCACCTTTTTACGTTATCAAATATTTTTACGTTTTCAAGAATTTTATATTTTTACTTACCGCAGTTTCTTATCCAAATGTAAAATCTTTTATCGCAGTCTATAAAAAATTGAAACAATTTACAATTTTATGATATAATATTATTATTATTACAATTTCTATATATATGCACATCTGTCAAATATCGTGATTTATTTCACATTATTATTATCTATTTTAATAAAAAAAAAACAAAAACACTTGCAACAATCAAAAATAAACCGCCTGCCGCGAACGGAAAATGCCAAGAAAGCACGCAATTTCCGCGAATCTCGTAATTTTTTTGAAAAATCAACAATTTCAACGAAATTGTAAATTCTTCAAATCACTGCACAAGTATAATTCACAATAATAATTTTCAGTAACTACGATAAAAAATCGTATACTGAAAACCGCAAACGAAAGTGCAATGGGAGTAAGAGTAAAGTCTGTGATAAAATTAATTGGCAATAGAAAATTAATAATTTTCAAATAGAAAAATTTTGAAATTACCGAGGATTTACAAATAATAAAGTAAAAATATTAAATAATTTATGTTTTCGAATTTTGCTCGCGGAGAGGATCTTTAAAACAAGATTTTTAGAAGAGAGGACCTTTAAAATATAAACAGGCAAAAACGTTGGAAAAATTAAAGCGCGCGTTTAAACAGATAAACGCAATGAAATAAATACGCAATTGTTTTTACTTATCGCTGTAAGCTCACAAGCTTCTGACGTGCTATACACTTTTATATAATATATACAAGGTGTCCGGTAACTAACGGACCAATGATTAAGGGCGGATTCTCTGGCCAATTTGGAGACGATTTTTCCTTAGCAAAAATGTTGAGAAGTCAATAATTTTCGAGTTATAAGCGATTGAAAAAAATAGGTTTTTTGAAAACTAAACGTTTTGGAGTTAAAAGTCTAACATAATTACATTCTTCAGTTAATTTCAGGTAGAGTTTACTATAATAAAATTTTAATTTAAGGCTTAGTTATAAAGATACATAATGACAAAGATTGGAAAGTTGTAAAAAATGATGACCTTTTTCGACATTTTCGCTGAGGAAAAATCGTTCCCAAATTGACCAAAGAATCCATTTGTAATCATTGGTCTGTTAGTTACCGGACACCCTGTATATTGGACACGAGTTTCGTTTGTTTCAGATTCTCGAGAGTTGAAGTAGGAACATACGAGTATCATATATCGTTTGTGACTTGCCGAATGAAAGCAAGACAGAGAGCGAACGAGATGATGAGCTTAATAGCTCATAATGTTATAAATAAATAAATAAAAAATTATAACCTGACCTACTAGTTATTGAATCTTTTTTTAATAAAATGTTTCATTATTATTATCATCTAAGTCTAAGTCGTTTAATTACTTTTTAGTTTTTTAATAATTAATTTAATTTATTCTAGTCATTTTTATATGAGAAAAATAATATCACGTATACGTTTTATAATGAATTAATATATTTCGGGAATCGAATTATATATTCTTAATAATATAAAAGTGTTCAAAAATTATATTTGACTTTTAATTTTAATTATTTTATAGCAAAGAGTTCCGAAATCTCTTACACACATAATGGGGATTTTTTTCATCCATATAATTCGCAATTAAGTATATATGTTAATTATTAATTTTAATAAAATAAAAATTAAAATTAAAGGTCAAATATAATTTTTAAACACAAATATATTAAATTAATTATAAAACGTATACCCATGATAGTATTTTTCTCGTACAAAAATAATTAGAGTAAATTAAATTAATCATAAAAGATTAAAAATTAATTAAAGAATTTAAACTTATATTTTATATAATAATAATAAAACATTTTATTACGTCAAACCGTCGTGAAATAATTAAATAAAATTTGCTAGTTACGTCAAAGTCAAGTTTTCTAAGCTTATAAAACATTTTATTAAAAAACAGATTCAATAAATATAAGTACATGTTATATATATACTTATATTTATTGAATCTGTTTTTTTTATAAAATGTTTTATTATTTTATATAATAATATATTATATTTAATATTTTTAATTTATTTTAAGTAATTTTAATTAATATATCTAGTTATTTTTGTACGAGAAAAATACTATCAAACTTATACGTTTTAGTAAAAGACAACTTTTTTTTTCATCTAAGATGCAGATATAGATAATTACATATTTTTATTATCTATAAATGATATAGATGACGCCAAAATTGTATCTATATAGATGATTATCTACATAATTTTATCTTTTGTTAGACAATATATAGCAAACCCTGCAAATGTATATACGTGTGACAAAGAGCTCGCACTCCGTTTCGTAAAACAAAAACCGTACTTATGAACGTAGCATAAGACATTGCGCGTCGCGCAATAAAAAGAGGCGTGTCCGCGCGGAACCGCACCACCAGCGCCGACCACTCGGACGTCAGTCGCGCGACGAACGTCAAATGTCACGTGCGGCGCGGCCTACGTCACACGCGCGGAGTGTATTATCGCTGGCGCTGCTATGTGGTCCCACGGCCCGCGTATCTATACCATTCTATACACTCATCGTCTCCACGTGTGGTGTCTCGCTCCTTCCTATCGTTTCTCGCGTGCGCGCGGGACTTTAATCGGGAACGAACAGCTGTTGCTCGCGCGCGTCGACGGGAGACCAGAAGACGATCGACCGTCGTGCCACGTACACGTGTTCTCCGCTCTCTCTCGCGAACGAGTGACGATATAATATCGCTATCGGAGGTTAACATCGTTTGACATTTATCGAGGGTCGAAGGAAGGCGAATAATAAATTAGTTTCCGGTCGGGCACCGAGAGCTCGCTTTGTTTATATCACACCGTGACTCGTGGCGACGGCCTTGAAGGTTTTTTTTCGCGTGTATATATAAGCACGAATTGAGGAGGATATAGGAAGGGAGGACCAGAGAACGGCAACATGAATCTGTCGTTCGCCGGCTGCGGCTTCCTGGGCATCTACCACGTCGGCGTGGCGGTATGCTTCAAAAATACGCGCCGCACTTACTGCTGAACAAGATAAGCGGCGCATCCGCGGGGGCTATCGCCGCGTGCTGCCTGCTTTGCGATCTGCCTCTCGGTGAGTGAACTCGAATCTCTCTACTCTGTTTGCTGACGTAAGAGAATTTTTTTTTAATGACAAAAGAAGCTACTGGGATCCAAACGCGAGTGGAAATTTGTATGAATAATTTTTAGGTTAACTCTATAACAAAAATAGGAATAAAAAAATGAAAAGGAAAATATATACAAGAAATATAAATATGATGTTTTTTAAATCGGCCAACAGAGCCAAAGCACGAAAAATTAATTATTCGGAACTGTATCTCTTGGTTTGAGATCACTAAATTCTATATATAAATTAATCTCGAAATTTACATATAGAGAAATAGGCGCGAAAAATATAGGTCCGAATCCCGCTTCAGCGACTTTTCGGACCTATATTTTTCGCGCCTATTTCTCCATATGTAAGTTTCGAGATTAATTTATATATAGAATTTAGTGATCTCAAACCAAGAGATACATTTCCGAATAATTAATTTTTCGTGTTTTGGCTCTGTTGGCCGATTTAAAAAACATATTTATATTCTTAATATTGAGAGCCGATGAAAATATTTCTTTCTGATATACAAGAAATGTTTAATATATTAATATGTATATGTATATGTATATACAGGGTGTTTCTAAAACTATGTCAGAGATTTTAAAAACAAAATAAGAAAAAAGTTCCTATAAACATAGGTCCAAAATTAAAATTAGCACCCCCTCATATATCTTCCTCTCAAAAAATCAATTGCCAAAACCACATAAACATATATATTAATAATGCTGTGCAAAATTTCAACGATCTGTGAAAAAAAATATATAATATATATCTAATATAATATATAATATTTTATATTAAATATATTGATATATAGAAATAAATATATTAATATAATATATATTTATATAAATAAAACAAAAAAAATATATATATTAGATGTACGGGATTTAACTGAACAAACATATACGGAGCGCACCATCAAATTTTTTGGTCAATTTGAAGACGATTCTTCCTCATTGTCAGCGAAAATGTTGAGACCAATAATTTTTAAGTTATAATGATTAAAAAAGAAGAGTTTTTCAGAAACTAAACTTTATAGTTAAAATATTAATAAAACTACAGTCTTCAGTTAATTTCAAATAAAGTTTACTCTAATAGAATTTTAATTTAAGGTTTCTTATAAAGTTACAAAGATACAAGATGGTAAAAACTGGGAATATGCAAAAAATGATTATCTCCTTTGACATTTTTAAGGAAAAATTGTTTTCAAATTGAAGAATCAAATAGTGTGCTTCATATATGTTTTTTTTTTATTACATTCTGTATAATAAAACCTAAATACAAATAAAAAGAACTTACATGATTAATTTTACTGTTTTTTAGTTTAAAAATCGTAGTATTTTTTTACGGCGAGTTCGGCTAACAATAAGTCTATTTGACTAATTATAAGGCTTATCTGTCAAGGTAAAATAAACTTTTACCGTAATCGACGATACGCTTAAATACGCTTTAATATTATTTTTATTTCATATATTGTATATATTTTTACTTGTGTTCTATTAGCTTCTTTTCAAAAGATGATTCTCAATTACATTTATTTTTAATGTAATTTAATTATATTTTTTTACATATATATTTCTTTGGTATTTTTTAAAATATTTTTTTATTTTACAAAAATGCCAAAAAATCAGCATTTTTCATTTAAAAAAATATATATTTGTCTTTGTAACACATATAATACTATATTTTTTCTTTTTCATAAAAAAACATATACTCGAATATTGCTTTTTATGTAAATATTTCTGCAAAAACTTTTAAAAATTACTACAATTGCATTTTGCTATTTCGCAACAGAATGAAACATTTTTTTAAAGATTTAACCTTTTTTCTAATATTTATCATCTAACAGAGATAAGAGAATTATTGAGCTAGTATATTTCTAAATATTATGCACTTAAAAAAAGTGCAAAATTATTTAATAAATTAGTATTATATTTAAATATTAATATCATAATAATTTCGTAATTATCTGAATAATGCATGCACATGCATGTTGGGATCATAAATAAAATTACATGTTATTTCACAATGAGTGATTCAATGAAATGGACTAACGAATTTATTATTCCACCAATTATTTCACCGCGCGATAACACAAGAACAAACGGGGACTAATTAGCCGGGAATAATTAAAATTTGTAATGTTTTGCTCCTTTCTCCTTTGTCTACTATTTGATTTGCCGCTGCATTATTGCGCATTGTTAGTTCTATTCTAAATCTATGCAAATCTATAACGCTGTTAAGAGTTTTCAAATAAAAAAAAATCAAACGTCAACTTGATTTCTAGACAAGAAAAATAAAAAGACATTGTATTAAAAAAAGAGAAAAGATAATTAAAATATACAATTTACAAGATTGAAAAGCAAAGTCCTTTATTTCAAAATCTACATTTTATATATTTTTTTATATTTTATATTTTTTTCCAGATTTTTCGAAATTTGTTTTTTAAAATTTTAACTTTGTTAAGATTCGTCGACTCGTTTATTGTAAATTAATATATAATTTTCAGCCTGATTTGTGGAAAACTCAAAAGTCATTGTATTAAAAAAGGAAATAGATCATTAAAATTTAAAATATAAAATTAATTAATGCTGAAATGCTTCTACAGATTATTTAAAATTGATCGTATAGACAAAGAAAAGTTTCTTTATTCGCCTTGCAAGTCCAAAGTGCGAAGAATCTACATTTTATATATTTTCCTCAAGATTTTTCAAATAAAAAGAATTTGCTTTTTTATTTAACTTTGTAATAATAGTTACGGGGTGGAGGAGAAGAGCGCTCTTATCGTCGTTAATATAACTTGTAAACACGATAATTGTACCGATTACATTGTGATAATTTCCGCGCTGCGCAAATGTGATCGAACTTTCAGAAGCTCTCTCGATCGATGCATCGAACTTATCGCTGACACGCTTTTGAATCCTGAAATCATTTGCAAATATATGCATGCACGTCATCGACTAATGCAAATCTTTAATTGTAAATGGGTCACGCATTAGAAGAACGCATAGACACGAATACAACGAATATACAGGGTGTCTGAAACTAATCAGATGTCATTTTTTAATGTGTGCAGTTATTGAGAAAACAAAAATTGTGTTTTGGAAAGAGGAAAGTCTGCAGTTTTTAATGGATAAAACATTGATAAAACATAATGAAAAAAGTGTTAATAATCACATAAAATCACATAAACTAATGATAAATATTTTCAACAGTGCCAGATTTAATAGCAGCTATTAAAAGGATTGTTAATCACTTCTAAAAACATATTAGAAAAGGTTTTACGAGTTTTCGTAAAAGAACAGAATTTTATACAAATTCAAATGGTGCGCACTTCGAAAATATTTATCATTAGTTTACATATATGATTATTAATTATTAGCACTTTTTTCAATAAAATAAACTGATATACAAACATTTTATTTATATCCATTAAAAGCTGGAGACTCCTCTTTTCAACACATTTTTGTTTTCCGAATAACTATATGTATTAAAAATGACAGTTGATTAGTTTCAACAATTTCCTATGGGACACCCTATGTATATCACAATATATATTGTAACGCGAAGTTTATCTCACGGGAGGAATTTGTTTTGTTTTTCTCCGCGCAGTTATGCAGATGTGTGTTGCCTTTATTATTATTATCATGAAAGACGGAATAAACACTTGCACTTGTCTGGGTGTTCTCGTATCTCCCCGTTTGCGCTGTTCCGCATTATGTATATTATTGTATATTATCGAATCCATGAATGCGACGTAAACGAGCGCGTTGATATTAACAATTAATGGTTTTTTTATGATTTTTTAAAATATTGATATTGAAAGCGATTTTTTGAAAAAAAAAAAAAAAAAAAAAAAAAAAAAAAAAAAAAAAAAATACTAATGTTAAAAATGAATAATTAATGAAATTAGTAATTATTTAAGACAATAGCTTTTATCACTTCATAAATTATTTTTATTTTATATAAATTTTCAATATAATAAATATAAATTAATATATAATTATAATAGATAGACATTAACTAATAAAATATTTATATTTTTTATAAAATATTTATAATTAATTAATTGAATACTTACTAATAAATAATCTTTAAGATGTTCTTTACAATGAAAATAGAGATACATTTAGAATAATGTAATTATATAATAAATACATTATTCTATGTATAAATCTAAAACGAAGTCAATTTTCTCTCTCTATTCTTAATATTATTTATTTATTTATATATTTTATATATTTTATATATTTATATTTTATTATATTATATGTACAATTAAATGTTTAATATTTTATTATATTATATGTATACTTTTAAGTTTTATTTGCATGTATTTCATATACTTATTTTTTTGTATCATGAAAAAGTATCTGCCGCGATATATTATACATTTGAAGAATGAAATATTCTCGCAAAGGTCAATATAATCGCACTTTGTTCAAGTGAACTCGGAAGCGAGGTGTTACATAAGTATTTTTAGCTTTGATATTAACAATCAATTGGTTTTTCAAATGTTTACTTTCCAATAGTTATAAATTAAACAATCCAATTTTAATATCAAATTTCAATATAATAAAGATAAATTAATATAACTAATGGAGATAGATGTAATTAATAAAACTAAATAATATCTATTTCCCTTTCATTTCTTTTAAATCTAAAACAAAGTAAAACTCTCTGTTTATCGTTCTCAATATTAGTTTAGGTTTTTATTTACAATTAATTTTAAGTTTTATTTGCACTTATCTCATATATTATTTATTTATTATTAAAAATTCCGCAAATAATTTAATATCTGTAAAAATCGTATTTTACTCAAGTGAATTCAGACGCGAGATATTATATAAGTACATTTTTAGTTTTTTTTACTTTACACTTCGCATAATGAACGAGAATTCATGAATTATTTTCGATCGCAATGACAAAGTCAAGCATCATATAACGTAGTCTTGCATAAGTCCTAATTACGGACT